ATAAGGGAGTGCCACAAGATTACAGGATACAAGATCAACATACAAAAATCAATTGTATCTGTATATGCTACAAATGTGGAAACTGAAATTAAATATACCTAACATTTGTAATTACTTTTTTTTATAAAAAGGTATAAATTTGACAAAATGTGTATATAATTTCTATGCTGAAAACTATACAACATTTATGAATGGAATCAAAGAACAACTAAATAAGTGGACATATATACCCATGCTCATGGATTGGAAGACTTAATTGTAAAAATGTCACTTCTTGAAAAATCTACATGTTTAATGCAATTTCTATCATAACCCAGGCAAGATTTTTAATGAATATAAACAAGATTATTCTAAAATTTATATTGAAAGGTGAAGGAGCTAGAATAGTTAAAAGAATCTTGTAGACTGAGTATGGTAGCTCATACCTGTAATCCCAGTGCATTAGGAGGTCACAGTGGGAGGGTTGGTTAAGGCCAGGAGTTCAAGACCAGTCTGGACAACACAGATATTCTTTCTCTACCAAAAAAAAAAAAAAAAAAGGCTTGTAAAAGAAGAATAAAGTGGGAGGAATCAGCCTATTCAATTTCAATTTCATGATTTATTAGATAACCTCAATAATCAAGACTATGTGGTATTGGTGGAGGAATAGACACAGATCAAGGAAACAAAATAGAGAACCCAAAAATAGACCTGTACAAGCAGGCCAGCTGAATTTTACAAATGTGCAAAAGCAATTCAATGGAGGAAAGGCAGCCTTTTCAACAAGCTGTGCTGGAGCAATGGGACATGTAGAGACAAATGAACCTTGATCTACATCTCACACTCCAGAAAGAAACTCCAAATATGTTACAGACTTAAGCAAAAAATGTAAATCTATACAACATTTAGAGAAAAACACAGGAGAAAATCTCTTGAGGTTGGAGGTTGGACTACACAAAGAGTTCTTAGACTTGACACTAAATGCATAATCCATAAAATGAATAATTGATAAATTGCATCTGATCAAAATGAAAACTTTTGCTCTGCAGAAGACCTTGTTAAAGGATTAAAAGACAAGCTACAGACTGGAAGAAAGTATTTGCAAATCACATATCTAGTATCTAGTAGACTACTGTCTAGAATATGCCAAGAACTCTCAAAACTCAACAGTAAAAAAAAAGAAGCAAACAATTATAAAATAACCAAAAGGCTGCAGTGAGCGGAGTGCACCACTGCATTCCAGCCTGGGTGACAGAATAAAACCTTGTAGGGAAAAAGAAAGGAAGGAAGGAAGGAAGGAAGGAAGGAAGGAAGGAAGGAAGGAAAGAAGGGAGGGAGGGAGGGAGGAAAAAATGGAAGGAAATAGCCTAAAGGATGGGTGTCATGGCTCATGCCTGTAATCCCAGCACTTTGGAAGGCTGAGGGGGGTGGATCACTTGAGGGCAGGATTTCAAGACCAGCCTGGCCAACATGGTAAAACCCCATCTCTATTAAAAAAGAAAAATAATAATAAAATAAAAAAAAATTAGCTGAGCATGGTGACAGGTGCCTGTAGTCCCAGCTACTCAGGAGGCTGAGGCATGAGAATCGCTTGAGCCTGGGAGGTGGAGGTTGCAGTGAGCCAAGATGGCGCCACTGCACTTCAGCTTGGGTTACAGAGTGAGACACAGTCTAAAAAAAAAGGCCAAGAAAATAGCCAAAAGACAAGAAGAGACATTTCACATTTCACTGAATGGGTTATATAGATGGCAAATAAGCACATGAAACAACATTAGCCATTAGACAAAAGCAAACTAAAAACCACAGTGAAGTATCATCACTACACACTAACAGAAAGACTAAAATTTTTTAAATGGTGACAACACTACATGCTGACATGAATGCTGAGAGACTGGATCTCTCCTACACTGCTGGTGGGAATGTAAAATGCTACAGTCACTCTGGAAAACATTTCCACATTCTCTTTAAAAACTTGCAATTTCCATACAGCTCAGCAATTGCATTCCTGGGCCCTCGTCCCAGAGAAACGAAGACTTAGGTTCACACAAAACCTGTACATGGAGGTTTAAAGCAGCTTTGTTCTTAACCATCAAAAACTGGAAACAATGCAGATATCCTTCAGCAGATGACTTGTTAGACATACTGTGGTATTTCCATATTGTGGACTACTATACCCAACTATAGAATTATGCAAAATGAAAAAGTGAATCTTAAGAAGTTATGTACTTTATGATTCTATTCACAAAATAGCCTTGAAATGACAAAATTTTAGAAATGGAGAACAAATTAGTGGTTGCCAGGAGTTGTGGGGGAGTGAAGATGAGAACTGGATGTGGCTATAAAAGGGTACCACAAGGGACCTTTACGGGATGGAGATGTTCTGTACCTTGACTGTATCAATGTCAGCATCTTGTTGTGATATTTACTGTGGTTTATGAGAAGTTGCCATTGCAGGAAATTGAGTAAAAGGCACATAACATCTCTCTGTATTATTTGTTACAACTGCATGCGAATCTACAGTTATCTCAGAATAGGTTTAATTAAAAGAAAAAGTCAGATACGGAACAATGCAATCTATCTCTTAACTCCCAAATTCTTAGTTGGCTGGCCACACACCATGTTCTCAGTTGTGTCCATAACCAAGTTTGGTGGATCTCTTCCAATTTGCAACTGTCATTTATACTGAGATCCCTCTGACAACTCCAGTGAAGTCTGTCTTCAATTTTTTTTTGAGATGGAGTCTCGCTCTGTCACCCAGGCTGGAGTGCAATCACTGCAACCTCTACCTCCTGGGTTCCAGTGTTTCTCCTGCCTCAGCCTCCTGAGTAGCTGGGATTATAGGTGCCTGCTATCACACCCAGCTAATTTTTGTATTTTTAGTAGAGACGGGGTTTCACCATGTTGGTCAGGCTGGTCTCAAACTCCTGACCTCAGGTGACCTACCCACCTGGCCTCCCAAAGTGCTGGGATTACAGGTGTGAGCCCCGGTGCCCGCCTCTTCTCAAAACTTTCAAGCTGTGGGCCAGGCACATGGGGTCAAGATATCTTCTTTTGATCACGAGGCCAAGAGATCCACTCTTTTTGTACTAAAAATATAAAAATTAGCTGGGCAGGGTGGTGCGCTCCTGTAGTCCCAGCTACTTGGGAGGCTGAGGCAGGAGAATCTCTTGAACCTGGGAAGCAGAGGTAGCAGTGAGCCGAGATTATGCCATTAAACTCCAGCCTGGCCACAGAGCAAGACTCTGTCTAAGAACAAAACAAAACAAACTTTCAAGCTGTGTATTTTTAATCATGAAATGTTAAAACATAAATATTTTAACATAATATTAAATGTTAATGAAAATGTGAAAAGCTGGAAACATTTGAAATAATGGCTTGGTAAAAGGGTCCATCAGACCCCCAACCACCCTTTCTTTCAATGAATTATAACCCATGGAAATCCAGTGCACTTAGCATGCCCAGCTTTGAGTGAAGTTCCCAAGCTTCCTGCCCCTGAGACTGCTGCCCCTAAACCTCTCTTGCATGGATTCTGTAGAGCTGCCCCTATCAGAAGTCACTTGGCCACTCCTCTGCTCCAGGCCTCGTGGCCTGCTGGAGGCCAGAGAGAGGATGAGTCATGCTTAGCAGCAACTACAACCCAAGCCACTCAAAGGCTGTTGTTTTATTTCTCAAGTTAGACTGCAGGCTCTAGAACAACCTGGGCCTCCTTGGACACACACAATGTGACGCTGAGACACCAATCTCTGGAAGACAGCAGTTCTCAATGCTGCAATGGTGTAGAACTTTTTGCAGAGGAAGGAAGGACAGGAAGATTCATTGAGGTCAGTGTGAGTCAGGGGCACTCCTCTGGGACATAGATAGGTTACTCACAGGTTGTAGGTGGGGAGACTGAGGCTGAAAGAGCAAGTGGAGGAGCTGATGTTGAACCTGGGTGTTCTGGAGTTTCAGTCCAGTGGCTGTATCCTCCATGGCCACGTTGCAAACTATACTGGACAGAGCTCAGACTGTACCCCAGCCTGTGTAGATACACCAGAGGTTTTATTTGGGGTATCCAGCTGCTGGGCACGGGAGGGTTGCTGGGAACTGCCAGGAAGGGACGAGGCATTTGTAGGCTCTCATCATCTGCTTCTACCCTACCCGAGACTCGAAAACACCCTCCAGCACTTTTTTTTTTCTTTTTTGAGATGAAGTCTCACTCTGTCGCCCAGGCTGGAGTGCAATGGCGTGGTCTTGGCTCACTGCAACCTGCGCCTCCCAGGTTCAAGCAACTCTCCTGCCTCAGCCTCTCAAGTAGCTAGCTGGGACTACACATGCATGCCACCATGCCCAGTTAATTCCCCCTCCAGCATTTTATGTGTCTGACTGCAGGTGGTGTGAGTGTGTCTGTGTACGACTGTATGTGTATGATGAGAGTGTGTCTGTGTATATGTGTGGGCCGCGCTGTGTTGTCTGCAGATGTCTGTGGACATCTGTGTCTCTGTGGGTTGTCTGTGCCTATGTCACTGCCTAACATTCTATGTGAATCTAAGTGAGTTTGTGTGTCTGTGGATGTCAGGTGTCTGTCTTTGTGTCGCTGGGGTGTGTGGGATGATGTGTGTGTGCATGCATGTGTGGTCTGTGTGTGTCTGTAAGCAAGTGGTATCTCTGGGATGTGTGTCTGTGTGTCCCTGCGTGCAGTGTAGTGACTTTGGGAGGGCGCATGTGTGTGGTGTGTGTTCGGCCCTGTGAGTGTGGTCTATGTACGTGTGGTGCCTGTGGGTCTGTGTGCGCGCGTGTGCCCGTGGGTGTGGTGTGTCCTCCTGCGCTGAGGTTCCCAGGGACACATCTCAATACAGACCCCCCTGACAGTCCCCGGGCGGCCACCCCGGGGCGCGGCTGTCTGTGAGGCTGGGCGGAGAGAAGCGCGTGGCTGGGTCGGCGGGCGGCGCCCCTGCTCCTCCCCGTGGGCCGGGCACACGTGGGCCCCGGGCGCCGCCTCCCCGCGCCACCAGCCGCCCGCCGGGTCCCGTGCGTCCCCACCCACCTCGGGCCGCCCCCGCCGGCGAGCCGGCCCGGGGATAAAGTGGCGGCGCAGACGCCGCACCCTGTCGCCGCGAAGCCGGCCGCGCGCAGCTCGTCCCGGCCCTGGCCCGCCGCAAACGAGGATCCGCAGCGCTCGGGGGACGCGACTGCGGCGCTAGTGGCCCGGGTAACTGCCTCCCTGCCCCCGCCCCAGTCCGCCAGTGCCGCCGTCAGGGGTGGGAAGCAGCATCGGGGTCCCTGACACGCCCGGCGTGGGCTCCGGCGCCCCGTGTGTGCGTGTGTTTGCGCGGTGTGTGTGCGCGCGTGTCCGTGTGTGCGCGTGTGTGTGTGTGCGCGCGCGCCCTCCCTGCTCCCTAGCACCAGCCCCCAAACCAACTTGTCCCCATCAACTCCATCTTTCCAGTCCCCACCGTCCCTGGTGCAGACACCCGCTGAACTCCCCTCCCCCCCGCCGGTTTTCCCAGCAGCATTTCCGATGACAGCTGCGGGGCTACACGTCCTGTGCTGTCGGAGACGCGCAGGAAGCAAAGTTTGTGAGAAGCCTTGGAGGCGACTTTGCCTCGGGGACTCGCATTTGTGCGTCTGCGAGCTGCCTCGGTGTGCGCGGAGCTAGTTTCCCAGTTTCCCGGGCCCCTCCCTTCTCCGAGCCCCTCCAGCGATTTGTTTAGGAAAAGTGATGACATGAACTAGTAGTGGAGAATCGCAGAGCCGCTCCCCGTCCTGGGGAGGGAGGGGAGCCCCGGAGAGCCTGCGGGTGGGAGCTGGAAGCAGGCTCCCGGCTCAGCGCCCCAGCCCGAAAGGCAAGGGTCTGGGTGCGGGAAGAGGGTTCGGGAGCTGCCTGCAGGCTGCCTTGGGGCCGCCCAGATGAGGGAACAGCCCGGTTTGCCTGTTTCTGATTCTCCAGGCTGTAGTGTTTGTGGAATGCAAACGCCAGCACATGATGGAAACAGGTTTGTCATGTATCCTTGGAATTTCAGATGGGAGGAATAATCTGAGTATCATCCACCTCATTATTGTGCCCACTTGAAACTGTTCCTTGGAGATTTTAAGATCGATGGGTCTTCTTGCAGCTGGGTCTTTGTACCCATAGAGCTGACTATAATTTCCACTTGATTACAGCTAAAATAGTCTTTAAGATGAAGTTTCCTGAAATGATTTAAAATAAACACAGATGGGAAAGGGGGAAAGCTGTAATGAGGTACTTAAAAAATAAAGTGAGCATTTTCTTAAGAACAAATGGGATTTTTCAGTCTTGGAGAGGTTTGCAAGAAATGTATGTATTTTTTAAACCTTTGAAATGGAGGGGTTTTTTAAACTGTTTTTAAAAAATGTTACCAACTCTGAACTAGGCTTTTTTCTCCTGTCCATACACGATTGAGATGTTTCTGACTTTGGAATATGTCACTTTTCCTTCTAGGACCTGAAGACCCTTCCAGAATGCCAGAGGAAAGTTCCCCCAGGCGGACCCCACAGAGCATTCCCTACCAGGACCTCCCTCACCTGGTCAATGCAGATGGACAGTACCTCTTCTGCAGGTACTGGAAACCCACAGGCACACCCAAGTAAGTGTTCCTCAGAGAGCCACCCCAGGTGGCAGGGGATCATGGCCTCTGCTCCTGCTCCTCCTCCTCTTCCCCCTCCTCCTCCTCTGGTCATTATCATGTACAGCCATCTCAGGCGGGGCTGCTTTCTCTATGACCTACTTCCCCTGCCATTTTAATATTAGGCTGAGCACTGTTGACAAAGCTAAAATGTATACTTCATAATTTTTTAAATTAAGAAACAGGAATTCTTTTTCCATTATAACAACTCAGATACGGATCCTACCGTGTGGCAATTTTCAAAAATTCCACGACTTTATTTTTTTGTACTGGAGCTGATTTCCTGTTGTACAGGCATTCGCTTAAAATCAAACCCAACAATTAAAGAAAATTCCCTAGATGGATGAGAAACTCAAAGTCGTACATGTATCTTCACCTTTGCTCTCTTTTCCTTCTTGCTTCTGAGCTTCAGAAGATGGCATACATGTGTCACCAGAAAGAAAGGGGCCTGGGTATTTCCTTCTGATTCCTTGCCAGCTCCATTACTTTGTACATTTTCCATCAAGGATTTGTCTTGCTGTTAGAAGCAGGCCTTGGGACTACACACAAGACAGCTGGTCTCCTGCTGCTGCTCCCTCCTCTTGGATGAAGCAGGAAAACCCTGCTTGTTTGTGTTATTTGGAAAAAGGAATTATTTGTGGTAACCAATTGGCCTGGTGACAAGTGAACATTTCCTGTTCCAGGAACATTTTACCTGTTTCTTAGGCCTCTTGTCTCCTAGGGATCATTGTGTGGTTGGATTATGTCTCTCTTTGTGCCCCAGTAATCACCCAACCCTAACACAGGTGTAAAATTTCTTCTCTGTCTTCATCACGGTATCTATGATCCAGGGAGCTGCATGTTAAAAACGCAGAGATACGGACTTAAAACCCAGTGTAGAGTCATAGCTTCAGGGCAGTTGGACAGACTGACTATGGCTTCTGTCTAGTGTTTTCAAGTGGGTAATATGCTGAGAAGAGTTCCTACTGGCTCTGGTAATACATTTCTTAAAGAATGTGTCTGTATATGCATATGTGTTAGAGGAAGGGGGGTTGTCGAGCATTATGATGCTAATTAATCATTAATTCTCCACTCTGGCTTAACTGGCTGTAGAATTACTCAATCTTGGATTAATTTCTAACAGATTAGTGGTATGTGGTGAGTGATTTGATCAATATACAGAAAGAGGGCAAAGAGTTATTGAAAATAGAAGTTTTTAATGTCCGAGTCTCAGACTTGGGGGGCTTTGTTGGTTAATTAGTGAGGTTGTCCTAGTTTGAGGTCAACAAAAGTAAAGTGGCTCTGCAGTCCTGGCAAAGGGGGAGGGCGGTGGGCGAGTGGGTTAGAAATGGCCGAGTAGGCTGCCCTGCCCTCCCCTCGCCTGCCTGCTGGGGGTTTTCACAGTCTCTGTGCTGAAGTTGCATTGCAGGGAGCTCTCTTTGCTCTGTTGCTTTTGATCTAGTTAGACATGAAAACTCAACTCCTTAGTTTAAGCTGAGCTGCCTCTTGGATGTCAGTGTCTGCCTTGTGGTGGGTGCTGATGGGATTAAGAACAGAGGTGGATGATTGAGGCAGTTGAGCCCAAGAATTTGGAAGAAACCTGCGGGTCTAGAAAAGGTTAAGGGAATTGAGGGCAGGAGCGATGAAATAGAGCAACAGAGCCATGAGCATGTGTAACTAAAGGAACACTTTCCATAGTGTTATCTTCTCAGCTTATCAAAGAGGAAGGGGCTGGTCAAAGTCCTACCTGCTGGGCCTCCAGCACCTGGAGACAATGACAAAGAGGTCCTGGAAGCCCCCTGCCATGACCGATGTTAACCCTGTGCTTGCTGGATCTTGCAGCGGTCTTGAGGGTCCTAGGGTGGGATCTCAGGGCAGAGGTTCATAACCAAGACCAGCTGCTCAGCAGGCCTGCCCTCTTACATGATCTGGGAGACCCCCACAGCATAATTATAATAAATAGTAGTATTATTGCCTGCACAGAATCATTCACTCTGCTGTTAGGTAGAGGGAGGGGACCTCAGGTCACCAGGCCTTTAGTCTTTTCCCCCAGTCCCTTTACCCCTCTTCAGCATAACCAGGGTCTGGCTTTGCGCAATCCTGCCTCCCAGTTAGGAAGAAAGAAGGGAGGAAAAGCAAGGGGCAAAGAAAGAGGAGACTGAAACCTCCCCCCATTACTCTACCAACTGTGGGCAAAACATGGGCCAGGAGCACCTCATCTCCAGCTCTGCCTCTGCTATGTTTCTCACAGAGGCCCTCGGGACCTCAGAAGCCACCCTGGGGCCTGTGGATATCATATTATGCAGAGGGATCTGTGCCTATCTCCGTTAGTTGGTAGTGGTTTGGGTGGATTTTCTGGCCAACCAGTTACTTCTAGCTCCTGGGGCCTGCCCTGAGCACCTACTGAGACATACTCCCCTCAGAGGACCTGCTGGGTTCCAAAACTGGCTCTGCAGGTGGCTCAGAGCAACACCAAGCCACAGGTGTCAGCCACTGCACTGGGAAACTGGCTTAACCCACTTCATGGAAGCAAATTCTGTCATATAAACACCAGCCTCCTCAGACTGGATCCTGAGAAAGAGAAAGCCCGTCTTGGGTTAGCCTTTAGGGTCGGTGCTGTTTTTAACGTAGTAGGCCAGAGTCTCTGTGTTTCATCATTGGGAACCAGAGCTTAAACCTCCATTTGGCAGTGCCAAGGCAAATTCATGCTGTAGTATTTACAGTAATAACAAATCCTACACTTAAGCCATAGCAGAATTATTTCATATTGAGTGCCAAGTACATTCTAGGGTCTGGACTAGATTCTGTGCACACATGATTTCATTTTGCCTTCACATCAATCTGTGAGACTAGCATTATTATTCTTACTATTCCCATTTTACAGATGAGGAAGCAGAGGCCCAGTGTTACAAAGTGTCTTTCCCCAAATGACCCTGCTGACAGCAGTGGGATTTGGTCCACATTCTTTTGACGTGGACCAAATCCAATTGTTCTCCTTACGCCACTAAGCAGGACAGATTTTGTCTTTACAAGTAGTGTTTTCCTGGTAAATTCTTACATTTTGGGTTAGGGTAAAAATTACTTCCTAGGGTAAAGAGGAAGAGAATAATTAATTCTCCCTAATCGTTTGCTCATAATATATTAAAAGTGAGAAATGAGCTGGGTTCAGTGGCACACATCTGCAGTCCCAGCAACTCAGGAGGCTGAGGTGGGAAATTCTTCGAGACCAGGAGTTTGAGACTAGTCCAGGCAACATGTTGAAATTCTGTCTCAAAAAAAAAAAAAAAAAAAAAAAAGTAGGAAATAGATTTAGAGATATGTATCCATTCTGAAAAAAAAAAAGGAAAAGGAATTTATGCCCTTGGCTGCCTTATCCAATTCAGCATGTTGGAATTTAAAAATACTGACTGGGCACAGTGGCTCATGCCTGTAATCCCAACACATTGGGAGGATGAGGCAAGTGGATCACCTGAGGCCAGGAGTTTGAGACCAGCCTGACCAAAAGTGGTAAAACTCCCTCTCTACTAAAAATACAAAAAATTAGCCAGGCGTGGCCTATAGTCCTAGCTACTCGGGAGGCTGAGGCAGGAGAAACACTTGAACCCAGGAGGTGGAGTTTGCAGTGAGCTGAGATCACACCACTGCGCTCCAGCCTGGGTGACACAGCCAGACTCTGTCTCGAAAAAAAGGGATAGTAGAACATGAGCAAATGTCCACTGATGCTATTGGCAGGTGATGGATTCAGGCCCATGGATGGGGTTGAGCTACTTTGTGGGCTCTTGAGCTAGGAAGTCACAATTGCTGTTGCGCCACTTTGAGAAATATTTAGCACCTTGAAATTAACTGTGGGAATTCCTTATCCAGGAGAATGACTAAATGGCAGTGCTCGGGTGGGGGAAGGGGTGTGGTCTGAAAACAGTTTGCAATTTGATGACTTAGACTCCAAAAATGTCCTCATTTGACACTGGATGACCAGGAAGGCTGGAGAGCAGGCTGTAATTATATGATTTTACAACTCTGACCCCTGCCAGACAGTGAGTTCAAGGCGTGGAGCAGATCGTATTCGCTGCTCATCTGCAAGGCCCACATGAAGGAGGTGTGGAGGCGAGGGTGCTGAGTGGACACATCTCACTCCCGTCTTTCTCCAACTATAGTCGACCCCAGTCTGTCCCCCTAGTCCCTTTACCCCTTTTCAGCATAACCAAGGCTTGTGCACTTGGCCTCCCCGGCAGCCCCTCAACTCTGGAGAGCTGGCCCACTTTCTTTTCTGTAGCTTCTGTTATGGTGATAATAACCGGTGTATTGAAGGAACTGGCTCAAAGTGCGATTGTCCCTCCTTCACAGATGCCCCAAGGCATACCCCTGGGATGCCAGAGCCCTCCCCACTTCCTCCAGAGCCCTCCCTGCCCTCACACCTCCAGCAAGTGCCTCCTCCTTTAAATGTCTGTTTAGCATTTCGTTCCAAACTCCCCTGCATTTACAGAGACCTTCTGAAACATAAGCCCTTTCTCCGAACCTTACTGGCCTTGCCTTCTAGTCCTTTCTTGCCTCAGACCTCGGTCAAGTGGCTAGGAACCTTGTAGCCACCCTCTCACCACGGCTCCCTCCTCTCCCACCTGACCAGCTCCACTGGTTTGTGCTGCCTCGGAGCCAGGGTGCAGCCTGCATGGTTTTCAGGATTTTCCTGTCGAAGACATAGAACTGGGGCCTTCAAGGGGAACAAAGGCAGGGCTCGGGTCGGGGGAGGACTACAAAGGAGATTTCACACTGTTTCTGGAACCTGCCCACGTGCTCAGAACTGCTGCCGCTGTCGTTGGGCCTAGAACCAATAAGACAGGGCTCCCTGCTCCTGTTGTTCCTCCCCTTGCTCCCAGGCATGGGGCTCAGTGATGGCCCCCATTGCAGCCCTCTCCTTCCAGGCCCACGTTGATCCCTTTCTCCATGAAGCCTTCACTCCCTGTGTGCGTTGCAGCAATGGGCAG